GCAACTAAGAATAGTAATAGCAGAGCAGCACATCTGCTGTTGACTTTGCTGTAACATAACCTTTCCAATGCTGTCTTCAAATCTACATTTTTGCCCAGTTACCCTGTTACTTACTTTGCATCCTTCTCTTTATTTCCACCGCCCCCCCCCCAACTTTGCTTCATGAAATAGGCTTCTTCCTGAATTATAACTGTGCTATCAGCCTAAAGGTCTGAAACTGCCCCTGGATGTGCCTGGGTATCTGATCGATACTCATAAAGCAGAGTGGCAGCAGGAGGCAAAGTCATTGGCACTGAATGTTCTAAGAAGGACTTTTTTTGTACTGAGATTAAGTTCTCATGAAATATTTACACTCACTTCCCATGCACTTTATTGTCTTTTGGGTATGTGCTTAGAAAGAGTTTGCTTAACCAATATAATACCACTATCAGTGTTCCAATGCAGAAGCCAGTGAGTTTATGCAAGGAGTTAATTTTTATTCTTAAAGAAAGCTGTTTACACTTATGCCTTGTCATTACCTTTATGTCCACTATTTCTATACACACCTATTTACATGATCTGGCTGTACTTTCTGCATGCAGTTCTATGAGAATTTCCTTTGATGCAATATAATTCACTTTGAAACCCTCACTACATAAAATAAAGTAGTAATAATGGTATTATGTGGGAGTTTTCCAATTGATTCATCTTTACAATTAAATATAAAAGAAATCCTCTACTACAAATTACTATAAATGGAATTAAATGTCCTTAAATACAAACATATGAAGCCTTTCCTCAAATCTCGTCCTTTCTCAAGCTGAGAGCACAACCTGCTTAATTTGCCACAGCAAACACTGGCCACTGCAGAAATTGCACAACGGTTTTGCAGTAATTATTTTGTACTTTAACATGAATTAGATGCAAGGGTCAAATAAATTAACACCAGAATACCATTTAATCTAGGACATTAATCATTGTTAACTCATCTAATTTTACAATTTAACTGAATATTCAATCTGTCAACCCGTCAGAGTACGCAATCTTTTGTTCAATCATTTTTTTCTTTTTATTTAGATAAAAGTTTATTATCAGGGAGGGTGTCACTGAACTGTTAATGTAATCAATTCCATTTTATTTTAAAGCCATTCTTGTGCTTTGCTTTACAAAGTAGAAAATTAGATATGATTAGATAATTATTATAGTTTGGTTAGACTGTATGCAATTGGCAGTGCTACCAGGAAAGTGGAACAATGTCATTCTGCAAAACATTATCTTAGGGTCTAAAAACAAGCTACAGACATGGCAAATGAAGAAGACTGAAGAATAAGACACAAAGCCTTTATCTCTGTATTGCTGGTTCCATTTCGGCTGATATTAATAGCAGCTGAATAATTATCACAGAGATATGTAGCAGATGACAGAAAGTGAATGAATATGTGGTCTCACAAAATTTCCAGCTACAGAAATTCCTCTGCTCAGGCTGCTGCTGTGTATGACACCTAGTAGAAAGACCAGAGCACAGGTATATGGCATAGCCAGGACCCTAGTATACCTTGCCACACCAAATAGGGTTCTCTTTCTGATCAGCAATGAAATGAGATAGCCAGGTAATGCAAAGTCTGTTCACTGATGCCTTGTGGCAGATAAAGAAATCCACACCCCTGGGCTAAGACTTCACAAAATGACAGTAACTCACAGAACAGAAGATTTCTTCTGAACTGGTTGCTCCTCCCAGCATGCATCCTGGCATACCAGGCTGTGGCTAATGACACCACAGTTTGCAGAGGACTAAATGATGAAGAAAAACGAAAGATTTTTCAAATTGATGTGATGGATACTATGAGGAGTATACCTTCCCACAAAACTGGCACACAAACTTTGCACTACTGAACAGCAACCAAAATTCATGAGTCTTACCATAGGTACTGAAATGCCAGTCAAAGTTGTAAGCAGCTTAGCATAGTTTCAAGAAGTGTGCAACCACATCTTATTTTAAAGGACAGTTTCTGAACACGGAAATGACCAACAGACTAGGGTACCTGAACTCCCAGCAGCACCAATCTCCCTAGTGTTTCAAAAATGAAAGGACTATTTGCAAACATCAAAGACTAAAATAAACTGTATGAAAACACAAACAGCAAGTAAGAATCGTTTGTACCTTACCCCAGAAAGATATAGAAGGATGCAAAGTATAAAATAACGTATTTTAAAATATTAAAACTTAATAAATTAAATTGTAAAACTTGTTCAGGCAAGGAAAGGCTGCCACTAAGTACAAAACTTTTGTGCTGATATGCTTTTCCAGGAATACCCTAATAACTTTTGAAGGAAGTTCCCAGTCTTCCTTTCACCATTTGTAAATTTTTTGAGTTACAGAGAATCACAGAATGCCTTGGGTTGAGAGGGACCTATAAAGGTCATCTAGTCCAACCCCCCTACAATAAGCAGGGACATCTCGCACAAGGACAGATTGCTCAGAGCCCCATCAAGCCTGACCTTCAATGTCTCCAGGGATGGGACCTCCACCACCTTTTTAGACAACCTGTTCCAGTGATCCACCACCCTCATATTAAAGAACTTATTCCTCATGTCCAACCTAAATCTACCTTTCTCTAGCTTAAAACCATTACCCCTTGTCCCATTGTTACATGTCCTAGTGAACAGCTCTTCCCCAGCCTTCTTAGAGGCTCCTTTCAGGTATTGAAAGGTCTCTATAAGGTCCCCCTGGAGTCTTCTCTTCTTCAGGCTGAACAGCCCCAACTCCTTCAGGGAATTGTATCAGGGCACACATATGAATATTTGATGTTGGAAAATCCAACACAGTTCAGCAAAACAATAAATTTCAACAAAAAGTTCACATTAATTCTGAGCTTGAATTACGTTTAGCAATTATTAATAATCTATTATTGTTTAAGAAATGCTGTTTCTAGCTCAATAAATGTTACATACAGGAAAAGATCCAGCATCTGAGGCTGTCAGATGCTTCACTACTAGAAATTACTATTCTAAAGAGTTCAGACATCATTACAGGTGAGAATAATACAACATAGTCATGTTCCCTTCCCTTTCATTTTCTCCTATATTAAATCAGAAATCAGAGAAGGATATGACCTCACAGACAACCTACTTTCCTCTTCTGCCAATGCAGACTCATTCTCTATGATACTACCCATTTCTGAGAGCTTTTCAAAGCCTGTCTTAAAATATTCTGATGGTTTTTGCTTTGTTAATTTTGATATATCATTTTACAGTCTAACAGCTCCCTGTTAGTAAGGTTTTCCTGTTAGTCAGCCTGAAGCTCTTTCTCATAATTCATTCTCTTAACTGTAAATTTCTTTATTCAGATTCAGTTCTATTTATGCCACACCAGACGGCACCGTTCTTCTATTATGATGTTATGTTTTGAGCTAAAGTCTTCTTTTTTCTTTCAATTATTTCTCTTACAGGCAAAATCTTATACTGAAGTGAATAACAACAGTACAAATTATTTTTGCCCCAAAATATCTGTTTGCAAAATTCTGAGGTTTATCTTATTTTATTTTCTGTGTGTTTTCATAAGCCTCATACAAAAGAAACACTGACTTTTTGTTTTCCTTGATATTTATATTGCCTACTTCTTTGTTACTACCCCTGACGTTTATTAGGGATGTTTGCCTTCTCTTTCAGACTAGTGAAGATACTAAGAAAAGAAACAAATTTACACTATGCAAAAAATACTGTAATAGGACAAACAGTCCTTTCATACTTTTAATACCTTGAGTTTATTTGGCTTATACTTCCTCTCCCTGCAACCCATTCCTATCAAAACTTTTTAATTCCATTTTCTAGAATTACTTGTATCTTCCTTATATATATTATTTTTAAGTCTGGGACTACTAGTTAGTCTTAGTTCAGCTCACCTCTTGAGGGCATACTGTGTCACAGCATTTTTCCATTTTACTATAACATCAAATTAGACTTTGATTTTCAGTAATGCAGTTATGGCCTGACATTTACACAGCCACCTTTTCCCCTCCTTTCTACATTTTCTATTGAGTTGTTAAATATAATTCAGAATTACATGTGGAAATTCACACCTATAAATGAAACCTTTTTTTCTTCTTTCTTTCCTTTTAAGGCAAAGCCAATCTTATTTTAAATCATTGCAAAAAGTAAAAAAAAAAAAAAGTCATTTTTCTGTCACTGCAACTGCACATATGGCTTGCCAACTCTTTAAGGAATGATCAAAATTAATCACGTGTCTAGAATTCCAGACAATGAAGGCAAAATTCCTCCTCAGAACCTGAGTCAATTCACAGTTACTCCTGGTTCATCCAAGCTACACGCTCTGTATTGACCCAGACTGACAATAGCAGCCATAACTGGTTTGGATGGAATACTGAGCAAACATATGGACAAGGCATCATGCAAAGTTGGATCTGGCCCAATAAGCCTTCTGGAATGGGGTGCACAATACACAACCAGCTAAATGGATCCAAGCCAGCTTAATGGAAGAAGGACTACTTGGGCTGACACCACACACAGACACTTTATTATCTCCCTGCCTTAACTTTTAACATGTTCCATCACACCTGTATTACCAGCATCCAAAATCCCATTACTGTGATAAGGGAAAGTTCATTGGTACTGAAGTGGTGATAAAATTAAATAAATAAACCATTCAGTGAGTAAATAATTCAATTTTCTCCACCTCTCCTTCTTTATGTCTTATTATCCCATTTCTCCTTACAGGAAAACCATGGGTAGAATATGTATTCAATTCAATATGTACTTCATTCCTGCACTGGGAGTCTTCGTCAAGTTCTCCAATATGCAGCTGAACAGAGTTTATCAGCACTGGGAATACCAATGACACAACACTGGGGTGTCATTTACTGTAATGCTGCCAACTGAACAAGTTCTAAGAGATAAGTACTTCTTTTTAGCCTCTAATCCTAAATTTAAGGAAAAAATACATCCTAGTATAATGAAATAAAGGCAAAAGGAATGAAATTAAATAATGCTTTGCAAATACTTACAGTCCATAAATCTGTGGAGCAATTTCCAGTCGGTTCAGATGCATGTACAGCTCAATATCGTGTTTCTTCAGCAGATGATCCTGAATTTGGTTTACCTTTGCTACAATAGCAATAGATGGGCCCAAGTCCTGCGGCCTTGCAAACGGCATAGGTGTAATAATCACTTCTTTATCCTGCAGACATAGGAAACGGGGGAAATCAGAACACCCATGAAGTCTTACAGCAATCATTGGTTTCCAAATAAACATAAAACACTATTACCTAGTTTATTTTCCAGCAAAATACGAATTTCAAGTATCCACTTCAGTGGAAGGTATTGTGGGATTCCCCTTCCCAGGCATGCCAAGGTTCATTCCCTCATCCTGCACATCTTTTACATGTGTGCTTTACTTCTCATTCTCTGACAAAGTGTTGACAGCTTTATTTTAACTTAAATATCAGCAGTCTTAGTCAGTCCACAGCAAAGCAGCTGAATGCTAACTTAGTAGAGAATACAGGCCCTCAGAGGACTACAAATTGCTTACCAAGTAGGTAATAACTTGTTTTTGAACAATCCTTTCTAAATGGGCTTCCCTTGCTTAGAATATCTGGTGGCTGTACCTCAACATCTACAGAATTTTGATACAGAATCAGAAAATTTTGAAAACAAAAAAGAAATAGAACACTGAGATGAACGTGACAGTTAGAAGGTAACTGCTGGCACCTAAAGGTTGTGCAAACTATGTCATGATCTAGAATATGACACACACCAAGTGAAAACAGAGCAAGAAAACTACTGGAGGGAGTATTAGCATCCTTGAACCTGACAGCACTTAAAATCTGTTCTTCTTACAAAACAGTGAAGTATTATTGAAAAAGAGACTGAATGCTAGAAACAAATGCAGCAAGTAATGAACTCCACCAAACAGGAAATATGTAAAAAGGAGGATGTGAAGTAAAAAGAACAAGTCAAACGTATAAAGTGAAAGACTGGGGAAACTCAACTACCAGGAATGTAAAAGTTATAAAAGAGGGAAAATTGTAACAGTAAGAAGATAAGATTTTGCAATGACTGTTGCAATCTGTCATCATGGCTCTCTGACCTAAAAACTTCAGTTTAAAAAACAGTTATTGTTTTTCTGCTCTTTTGCTGAGTATATTGATAAAGAAGAATTATCAAGGTCAAAAGGTTAATACTTTCAGAAGACTTCATTACAGTTCATTCCTTGTTGAAGACAAATTCACTTGGTTCAATACAGTGAAAAGTACATTATTTTTAACATTCAATAACAAAGAAAGGGATTATTTTTTTTTCTGTAGAAGCCTGACCTTGAATGTCTCCAGGAATGGAGAATGCTACCATTCAGCCAATTCCTTATCCACTAAACAGTCCACCCCTCAAAGCCGTATCTCTGCAACTTAGAGAGAAGGATGTTGTATGGGACAGTGTCAAAGGGCTTGCAGAAGTCCAGATAGATGACATCTGTAGGTCTTCCCTTGTCCACTGATGCAGTCATTTCATTGTACAAAGCCACTGGGTTGGTCAGGCAGGATGTGCCCCTAGTAAAGCCATGCTGGCTGTCCTGAATCACCTCCCTGTCCTCCAGGTGCCTTAGTATGTCTTCTAGAAGGATCTGTTCCATGATTTTCCTAGGCACAGAGGTGAGGCTGACAAGTCAGTAGTTCCCAGGGTTCTCCTTTATACCCTTTTAAAAAATGGGTGCGATGTTTCCTTTCTTTCAGTCACCTGGGACTTCACCTGACTGCCATGGCTTTTCAGATATCATGGAGAGTGGCTTGGCAACTACATCAGCCAATTCCTTCAGGACTCCGGGATGTATCTCATCAGATCCCACGGACCTGTGTATGTTCAGGTTCCTTAGATGGTCACGAACCTTGTCTTTGCTTATGGTGGGAAGGATTATCTCCCTGGTCTCCGTCTTGAGAGCTGTGAGGAGAGGGGTTGCCATTGAAGACTGAGGAAAAAAAGTTGTTGAGAATCTCAGCCTTCTCTTTGACTGTTGTTACTAGTTCATCACTGTTGCTCACTGGGGGGTATGCTTTCTTTAACCTTCCTTTTTTGGTTTACATACCTGTAGAAGCTCTTATTTTTTTTCTTTACATCCTTTGCCAAATTCAGTTCGAGCTATTCCTTGGCCTTCCTGACCTCATCCCTGCACATGCAGGCCACATCCCTATACTCTTCCCATGATACCTGTCCCCACTTCCACTGCCTATGTAGGTCCATCTTGCCTTTTATTTTGACCAGCAGGTCTTGACTCTGCCATGCTGGTCTCTTGCCTTCCTTGCCTGATTTCCTATACCACCTTGCCCGACTGAGATCTGTTGCACTCTATGGAAAGCATCCTTAAAGATCTGCCAGCTCTGTTCTCCTCCTTTGTCCCTGAGGGCCGTTCCCCTGGAGGTCCTATTTACTAACTCCCTGAAGAGCTGTAAGCTTGCCTTCCTAAAATTTGGAGTTCTGACTATACTTCTTGTCTACCTCATACCCCTTAGGTCAGTGAACTGCACTAGTGACTGATCACTGCAGCCCAGGCTGCCTTCAACATTGACATCTCTGATGAGTTCACTTGCATTTGTGACCATCAGGTCCAATACTGCATCACCTCTGGTAGGGTTGTCAATTTCTTTTCTTAAGAAGTTGTCATTGAGGCATTCCAATAATTTCCTGGATTGCCTACAGCTTGTCATGCTAAAATGTTTCTATTGAAGGATATGATTGATTATAAACTGTATCTTAAAATCTTAACTGTTCTTTGCCATATCAATTGCAGCAAAGGGACTGATGTGTGTGTTACAGCATGGTGGTTTTGCCATGTTGTTGTGGTACCAAGACACATTAATTTATGGTGCCCTAAAATATCGCTTGACAAAAGCTCTCTCAGACTGCCTAATAAAGCTCACCAAAAGGGCATAATTCCATTTCAAATCTCTTCTGTTCTATCAAACTGAAATTTAAAATAAAACATCTAACATCTTAGGGAGTAATTGCATAAATACTGAAGTTCTTCACAGATGCAGATATGTTGGGAAAGGATACTTCTCTTACCTCTATTTTTTTTACTTATTCCATTAACTTCTTTTTTACAAAATTGGCCAGTCTTTTCACCCTGATTTTTGTTTCTTCATTGCATGGCTATTTCCTATTGTTGTTTCAGACCCATTTCATTATTTTCTTTGTCACATGCCAGAAGGAAAAATACTGAAAAATACACGAATCTCCTTCTAACCTATACAGAAACCTATACAGAAACCAGTCTTAAAGTATGATATGGATACGGTAACATGACATTAACATTAAATGCTAGTCTACAGGAATTTTTTGCAAACATACCAATTTACTTTGAAACTAAAAGCAGAAGTCTGAACTCTCTGTATTCGTGGGCTGTGCATGTTCCATCAGTTGGCGCACATACAGGGTATGAACTTTATACTGGTTTATTCCAGTTTAATTCAATTTCAGCTAAACTACTACATGCACTCACAACTCTGATGACTCAAAAGATCTGTATTTTTATTTTTTCTTGATAATAGGCACAGATTTTTGTATGGAAATCTAAAAATTAGCATCTTTCTACTTAGTTGAATTTGTAATATGAGAAGACTAGCTATTTACTCAGATTAGCTTTTACATCATTAGTTGTCTGTGGGTTTAAAGCCATCTTTACAAAATTAGAAGACAGACTCTTAACCACTGACTCAATTGCCAGAAGATTCTAAATATCAAAACTAATGCAAGCTTGCTCTTACGGAGAAGTGCCAAAACTGGAGTTACTTGTCACTTGCAGCATTTGTGCACCTTGGCATAATGCAGCACTGACACATGGCTGACTGTCAGACTGACTGACTATCAACATGCCTAAGTGCATCAAGTAATATATGCTGGCTTGCCATATTTAAAAGCATGAGATAAGTAAATGGTATCCACCAAAATGCAGCTCATCAGCATCTCAGAAACTAACCCCATTAACAGAAATCTTCAAAGCATGACAAAATCTGTGGGGACACCAGCTGTAATCAATAATCAATGCCTTGACCATGCTTCCTAATTTGGTGCACCCCACTGAGAAGCTTAGTGAATGACTAGAGTGCATATGGTATGACTGTTGTATCCTCTCACACAATTTGGTTGAAAAACCACAATCCATGTAGTCAGTTGAAATTGCTTCAAAAAATCACATCAACTAGTGTGAAAGAAACAGCCCAAACAGAAAAATGCTCAAATAAACTAATACAACCAAGCTGTCAAGATAGTTAATTAGAAACGACTCAGTGCCTGTGCCTAAAGCACAGAAGCCAAGTGGACAATCTGATACTGTGCTCCTGCCCATAATCACTATATATTAAGTTGCCACATGAGACAAAACACCCACTTTTCTTTTTGTGAGCTTCTAAGTCCCAGGAAGCCTTTGAGTGCATGGGTTTAGCCATCTACTGCTAACACGAAATATAAATGATCATTTCCAAAGGGATGAGGTTCACAATAAACAGAAAAATTATGGCTCTGAGATGTGCTATTCTGTTTACAGAAGAGCATCAGATTCACCTCTGAGAACATTTTAAACATGGATATCAGTGAAATGCAGCTGAAAAATTCAGATCTGAGCATTAGGAACAGTCACCAAATTCTGCCACAAAACATTACCTACAACAACACGAAGTGGAATGGCTGGCAGTTGATACTAATACAATTTATATATCCATGCACGTAGGAAACAAATGCTACAGCAGTAAAGAAAGGCTAGGACATAGTACATGTATAAACTGTGGACAGATTTCTCTCATTAACCACTAGGGAATGGAGTAGCTGGAGAAGCAATCGTGAGTAATGGAACCGACTGTTAGAAGCTATAAAATGTACCATGTTTCAGGAAGCACAAGCTTTCCTTGCTTCCTTTGTGAAGTTTCAGACTTTATTATGTAGCCAGCACTACAAGTCATGATTGTAAAAGACATATGTACAAGAAAGGATTATTAAAGATTATTCATGTTTGCAAAGAACAAGAACAAACAACTAGATATTAATCCATGCACTTTGCATTCTTAATTTTTTATGCCACAAAAGGACTGGAAAGGGCAATGTAAACTTTCACCCTCTACCCAAGTACTGCAAATCTGTAAGCAGACCTAGTTATTTACCAGAATAAAATTCAGCCTGAGACTCTACCACCTCTGTCACAGAAACTGGAACAAATACATTTGAATACACGAATTCTGAAAAGCTACATTCGGGAGAAACATGTCTCAAGGCTTTGTTGTTGGAATAAAAGTGACTACGTAATAAGTTCATAAAATTTGTATCTCATATGCCTTATCCTTAGCTACAGAGAACTATGTAAAAACCCAAATTCAAATAGTAATTTATAACTGTAGAGAGCTTAGGCCAAGATGTCAATGCTCCACGTTTAATAAAATACATACACAGACAGACAAAAACATTTAAAGGAAACAGAAGCTTTTATGTGAGTCTTTGGTGAACATCTTTTTCTTCAACAGACAGACAAAATCGCCTCTAAAACTTGTACTCCCTAACTACAGTTTGCAAATATAGGTTTTGGTGCACACCTGGACATTCAAACCCAGCCAAATTCTTATGATTTTTTTCATAACTCTAGATACTTACCCCATGGTCTATGTGAAAAATGCTGAAGTGAATAAAGTTGGAACAAAATTTGGAGGACAACTCTTTTAGCATATAATAAAGTCTTGGCAATACCTGTAATACAGCTACGTTTTACTAGAGCCTTCTACATACACTCCATCACACAAATCTTTTTCAGAATTAAAAACAATAAAAAGACAAATGTAGACAGGGAAAGAGAAAGGAAAAAAGTACTCTAAGGAAATCTTGAACAATTTACTGAGGGAATTGTCCCTCATGCATGACAACAGGTTACAGGCAAGGACTAGATGGTCCCTAGAAAGTCACTGCAAAGACTTCTGTAGAACTGAACTCAGGATACAGAAAAATATTTCTATGAAAAGAAGCAACTTACTAAATACAGTAGTGTCTGTATAGCTACACAGGAGATGTGAAAGCACAGAGATTTCCTCTGTTTTTAATACCCTGAGATCAAGAAGAGAAAAAGTAAGAAAATGGAGTGATAAAGTCAAGGAAAGATGCACCTTGACCTTTGACGTATAGTCTATGATTACAGTTCTGATTTCACAGTTGATTTTTTATATTGTGAAAAATTTAAAACAATCAATCCATTAAACACTGCTTATATGCATTTATTTAACATAATGTGCACAGCTTTTGGGCACATAGGTGTGCCTATGACAGGCATTATCTCAGATGCTACAAAAGAACATCACCCATATGTAGGAGAATCTGTGTACATTTGGCTTTTGATTACCAAGTGGTCTTTAAACAGACAGGAGCTCTTAACTAGAAGACATTGAACAAGTGCTTATGACCAAATTCTGAAGAAACTCTACAGAATGTTAACTTGGTTGAGCTTGCTTTGACTAAGTTGTTTCAACAAGGATGCCTTATTAGTTTCAAATTACTTCAATCATATTAAAAAACACATTTGCTTAAAAATACAAGAAATACATTTTAGAGCAATATTTACCTTCTGACTGTCATGTTCAAAAGTTGAAAACCAATGTTCTGCAGTTTTCATCAGACGTGTGAACATTGCACTGAAGGGGGAAAACCCATAAACTTGGTGTTAAAGAATGTATTGTACATAAGAGCAAATTAAATGAAAAGGAAGTTGTTAAAACTTACTAGGCATCATGTTCCAGATACTCAGGATTCAAAAGAACTTTCATTTCCTCGCTGAAAAAGGCAACAGTGAACAATCCAAATGTGAATGTTTATTTCTGGTCAGTGTTCTGCATGTACTATTATGTATTTATAAGCCAACTTTCATATGCAGTGCAAATGAGAAAACTAGCCTTTTTAATTAAAAAGAGCAAATCCATTGAACAAATGAAGTCTTTCCTTTTTATAAAGATCAAAAACAAATTAGCTGCCTTGTCTGCACTACAATGAAGTAACCATCTAATTATTCCAAATAACAAATTACTGAATGTCACAATGTATTATTTGAATATGCTTGATCTAGAATAATTGATTGCTGCACAATCTATCACTGTTTGTCCCAAACAAAAAAAAATATGGTTACTGGTCAAATATGCAGTATCAAAACATGAATTTATTTTCTTTTAATAGCCTGTATTTTTATTGTACTTTAACAGCAATTAATCAGTGACAGGACCACTTTTCCATCTACTTTGCTGCTTAGCACTGCTTTTTCAGTGGGGGTGGAACAGAATGCTGCCAAAACATAAGGTTATTTAAGTTACTTGGCACTGAACAGCATCTTCTAGGTAATTTCAGGATATCTAAGGACAGACATTGAATCAAAACACACACTTGTAAACAATCTCCGTTGTAATGCCTTTGGACAATCATCTTAAGGGGTGCTAACAGAGGTTGTATTATATAGTACAGGTAATTAAATGGCTTTTATTCACTGCTGAACTCCAAAAGACAGTGTAAAAAGACAAAAGAAAAGCAATGATGTAAATATCACAAGTGATACAAAGAGGCAACAAGTGTTTTTGAATTTTGTTTAATATCTTTACATATAGGGCCAAAAAAAAAAAAGCAAGCACCTGAATTTGGTTGCCAGGCAACCATGTGTGAAGTAGTATTTTGTACATATGTGTATGATCACATGTGCACAGACACACAGTTTGAGTGGAATGGAGAATCAATAGCTAAACTTCATGTTACTACAAAGTCAAAGGATAGTCAGATAGTGCAGCTACAGCATTGCAGGTGAGGAAAGAAATACTAGCAACAACAACCTGTCTACATTGATTTTTTTTCTCTTTTAAGGTATGAGGAAACAGGGTTGGTAACGTATTCTGTGACTGTAGTCTTCTAATCTGTCTCCTCTTTGAAATAACAAAACCAAAATACTTTTTTGCAATAAAAATGAGATGGTAGGTAGGTATGTAACCTTCCTTAGGTTTCTCCTTTTTTTAACCAGCTAGTATCTGTGAAGGGGCCAATGTCTATACTTTTAATTCCCCTTTGAGAAGCTGTAGTAGAGAAGATGAAATAAGGGCATTCCCATCAAATCATGAGGATGCAACGATTCCTAGTATTGATTTATCAGTTATTATCTGGTACAGCCATTTATTTTTTTTTAATAAAGCAGATATTTAATACTACACAAATAGAACACAATACTTGCCTTGGTTGTGCAGCCTCACTGGCATGTGAAAAAGCTTGGTGGTCACAATGCAGGATAAAGACAATGGGAGCTAAAAGTTCATGCATACCCTAGAAGTAAAAGGAAGCAAAGTAGTAGTAAGATTATTTATAATCATACAATATAGCTCCTAATGCATAGCATCAGGCAGCCAGCAATATTAGGTGTAGACTAACTAAAATCAGGAACATTTACGTTCTTAACAGAACGGTTTCATAATCAATGCCTTTTATCTTAAATTGTGATTAAATCCAAGGGTTTATTCTTCTATAATATGCAGAAGCAAGTTATTCACCCTTTTTTCTAACACAACAGACAACAAATTGGCAATGGTAGGCAACCCTGCACCTGGCAGTTTACTCCAAGATCTATGATCATAAATATGAATTTTATTTATCATAATTATAATCATGATCCACAGTACAAAGATTTGCAAGAGGGACAAATTACAAAATTTAAAATTATGTTTTATTTGATAATGTCCCAAAACCATAGAGAAAAGCATAACAGTAGTCTTCAGAGGAGACAATGTCCTCTATTTAGAAAGTTATAAAATTATTCTTCCATTTGTGTAGATATGAGAAATAAAATGAAAAGGGGTGGGGGGATGGGGAGGCCTTCTTTTATTTTATTTAAAGTTGTTGTGTCAAGATAAAAAATAAATTCATAATAACACAATGCATAGGAGACCTGGTACTGTTCCACTGGAGACTTTTACTTATATATATATAATATAGAACCATGCAGAAATCAGAACCAAAAAAAATTGGTGGATGGTCAAGGACTTTGGCCAGCTTTAGAAGAATGGCTGGACCACCCATGCCAGCCATCAGTGCCATTGGTGCTTTTACCCAGAGCTCACCAGGAAGAAAAAACAAAGTCTTGATTTGCCTTGATTCACTTGGGACTTGTCAGTTTGTTATCAAGGAGCAGAAGCAACTGCCTCAGGAAACAAGCACTCCAGCTGGCGGGCAGCAACACACTGGCAGGTAAAACTATAATCTGCAGAATGAAACCTCATCTTCAATAGATATTCAACCCATTCCCTCAGATTAGATCAGAGAAAACTAGGATTTAGGGTGTCATAACTGGAGAATTTGTTTATGTCAGGCAAGTTGGGCTCCCAGTGGTAGACTAGGATGGTAGGCAGGAACTACACAATTTACAGGATGTGGTGGGGGTCAGCCACACAAAAGAAGCGAGGGGAGCCCTTCAGTGACGGCAGAGATGTGGGATGAAGCATAGACCTATCTGGCTGCCTCTGGACACAGGGCTCACACTAAGGGGAGGGAGCTCCAGACCTCAGCACAAAACCACCAACCACAGGTGGGCTTGGTGCCAGACACTCAAACTGGGATCCCTTCTGGGTCTTGCTGTGAGTCATTCCCGCTCTGCGGGATGAGAGCGTGCTGCCAGCAGTGCTCCAGCTCAGACGTGCCATTACTTTACCAACAGGAGCCTCAGTCCTTACTCCAGGTGAGTGCCCTGGGCAGACAGGGGTGCCAGAAAGACCAGCTTGTCTCTCTTGATGGCAGAAAGAGCGCTAAGGCAACAAGCTCACAGGCATTTCAGGCTGCTGTTGGGAGTCAGATGATGAGTCTCCAGACAGGAGGTGGTGTACTTTTTTGCTTGCAGTTCCAAGCTAGGAAGCCCCTCCACTTGCTTTTCCAGTCCCTTCAGTGACGGACAGATGTGGACAATGAAAGAATTACACACTTGTGCAGCTACCCTGCTGCTTTGCCAGTGTACCAGTTGATATTCCATGTAGCATTTGAGTAGTACTCAATATCAGTGAGTTAGCTTATCAGCTTCGTATGTGTTCCATTAAGTACTAAAAACCTTTAACTTTTATTGGAAATGATGCAGATTTTCCTTAAGTGATCCAAACTGAGCAGAGAGGCAGATGTGGAAGCCTTCTTTAGATCATTATCTAGTTTGAGTGTACTTGCATGCATGTCAGTGCATCCTATCTGCTCATAAGAGGCAATTCCAATCCCTAGCACTGTTGAAGGAATGAAAGGAGAGATGGAAATTTCTCTGCCTGCTATCAACTGAATTCCTAAGAAATTTAATTTTCATTTCTTCAGGATTGGGATGACTGTTACAGCCTCAACTGAGGTTAGCAGTAATAGCAGTCAGTGGACTGGGCAAAACCAAAGACAGCAAAACTATTGAAGTTTGGGCAATTTCTTTCTCTTCCTATTTCTGAACCTTTAAGGAGTACTTTGAAAGATGAAGGATAAGTAGAAATTCGGTTAGGAAAAAAAAAAAAAGATTAAACCCAGTGTAGCCACCTGATTTCAGGAGCTGATGTAAAATTCCCAAACACAACAATATGGGTTAGATTACAAGCTGACCCCTTTAGATTTCTGAAAGTCTTATGGTCATACTAAGAGGGAAAGGAGTAGCAGAGACAGGAAGACAGGTCCAGGATTAAAGAATAAATATAGGTGGCAAAAATATTTAAATAAACTCTAGATAACCTGGGCTGTACTTTCATATAAACTCACAGCCCTTGGTTAATTAACAGCTCCATATCTAATCTTTTATTCACCCTGATATTCTAACATGAAATAAGAGAAATGGAAATGCCAAAAACTTGACTATCACCTAAGCTGTAAACATATAAGCCAAAGAAAAAGAAAGAGGACATAAAATAAGAATTAGTTATAAAAGATAAAAGCACATCATACATTTTCCAACATAATAATATATCAACTTGATAATAAAGTAGAATCATAATGTGGCTGCCCACATAAAACAAAAACAAAATAAACAGATGATGAAATATCAGAATTTCAAAAAGATACCTCTGATCTTTCAGTTACAAGCGTACTTCAAATGTTTAGAGATTTTTAGCTTGGCAAGAAAAGCTACCAGTGTAATATGCATACACATCTTTTCAATGCTGCAGTTTACTAAAACTCTTTACTGTTAATAAATAAGTTGACAGAGCTCAGATAATTTTATGACACTTCCCAGCTACAACAAAATATTGATTTCATAATACATTGTATGGCTTAGAAAGAAAACCAGAAATATAGCATTTCCACAATGAAAAGAGAATCAATGCACTTCAAAATTATATTGACTTCTCTAAGGGCAATCAAATCATGAGTGAACAATAGTTAGCCCAGTGATTGAGTTTAATTATCACTATTTCTTTTCAGTGTAACTAGGACCAGAATTTTGGCACCAGTCTTACAGAAGAATGCAAAAAGTAATTTTTACATCTTCTTAAGTACAATATAATATTCTCTTTAGATTTTATATTTACAGCTTCTATTTAAAAACTCAACAATCTGAATGAGGATTCTGTTTTTAAAATCTGTAGTACAGCTTCATAACATTCTACTCCATTTGACCAGGGACAGAAAAATCTTTTTCCTCATCAAATAAAATACTTCACACTGGTCAAAAACCCCACAAAACCTACTACAAAGACAACTTTTATGCATATATGCATATTAAACAAATATTATTGATTGCTTCTTGTAAGACTGATCGCTGATGCTATATAATAGTTTCAATAAAATGTTGTAAACCTCAAATGCACTTTGTTTACATTTATGAGTATGCAAATTGTCAAAGAACTGTAACTTCTTCCAAATTTTTTGCAAGAGAAAGATCAGGTCCTGTACAGATGCTGACAGACAAGTGTAAGTTTTCATTTATCAGCCCAGTGTTACAATTCTAATAGCAAATGCAGCTCTTGTATGTGGTCATACAAATGAGACAGGAATTCTCATGGAGAACAATAGGACCAGTCTCATGATGGATACTAAATATGAAAACAAACTCCTAAATTTGGGTTTTGTATTCAGGTCACTGTGGAGAGAGTAGCTTGGAGTCAGTCTATTATTGATTAATTAATGGTAACCTTCATTACTTTCAGTAAAATATTCCAAGCTTTGATGTAGTGCAAATTATTATAGGAAGTGGGGCTTGACTGAATGTTAAAAACAGAACCAGTAAAAATAGTAGGACAGGAAGATTGACTGCAACATAGGGATTTGCTAAAAGGGGAAAAGACCATATCCTGTTGCCAACACAAACTAGGTTTCCTATTAGCTAATTCAAAGAAGGGTACCGATGGACATGAATGAAATGTTATCTAAAAAGAGAGGGATGCAGGGACAAAAAACCAGGAGCAGGATTGTTACTAATCAGCTAACAGGAATATGAATCAAAAAAACAACCAAACAAACAAATCCACCGTTTTAAAATGAGGTAAGAAAAAAGAAAAGCTCCTAGTAAAAATGACATGAGAGGAAAACCACAACCACCTGCTATTTTGTGGACTTGGCACAGCACCATGAAACTTGGGTGATATACTGAACACACTTCAAAAAGATTAAACCAGCAGTTTTTCGTGGTCCAAATTCACTTCATTTTCTGCGCTTCACCTCTCCCCTTAGTCCTGTGGCAACCCCTTCCTGGAATTACTGCACTACTAATGCACACCAGTTGAAAGCAGAGGTAAAGAAGTTTTCTTTGTCAACAGCCTGTAGGCTCGCAAAATTGAACCTTTTCTTTTATCTGCCTATGTTCATTTAGCCCACCAAGCAGTCTTTATTAAAGCTGAGGCATCAGGCAGTCAAAGTTCATTAATACCATTTATATAATCTCTGCAGTTTCAATTAACTCAGCAAGACATTCTACTACATGATAACAGTCTCATTAATTCAATAAAATCCCATAACTATTAACAATATGGTCTATGTTAAACGGGGTGTCACCTAGTACAAAATAATAGCTTTAACAGCTTGTGATGAAACTCAGGGCTTTTTTTAAAAATTTGATCTGGCTAAATATTCTATCCTTATGTAGAAAGGTATTCTTTCTTGGTAAGGAATAAAGAGGATTTTAAATATGAGCAGAGGGTATTTAAGTCCTTTTAAGTCATATCAAAGAGTAAAATAATACTTCTTGTTCAATAAATGATAGACTAAATTAGCTGGAATGTGTGGAATCAGTAGTCTGCCCTATATTCATTAAAACGAGGAAGCTGAATATTACTGAAGTGTTTTCTTTACCAGTGCCCTTTAAAATACAGCTCACAAATCTCCTATTTTCTCGTTCTCATGTAAGACCAGTCCTTGCTCATAGACTATCAAAAGAGGAGAAATAACCACCTAATACAGATTTCAAATGTTTGATAACTAAATATTCAATTTTTTATCTAACCTGTAACACAGTTCTTTAGAAGTAACTGTTCCTTTGACTCATAGATGTAGTTTTTTCACAAAATGTCAGTACTTCTTGGGTTGAGAACAGGATGGTCACAGACCATGCCTGAAAGCATACAGCATCTCATAAAAATCTTCACATTTGCTGGATTTCTGTTGTGAAAAATTTTCTGCCAACCTGAAGTTTGCAGCTCTACAGTTTATCCTTTGTCCACACAAACAGAGTATCCCTCAGTCTGTTGGTCTCTATGTACCCTACAGTTAATATCCTGAAGAAACAAATACAAATATACTTATGTCAACACTCTGTATATTGGTCATGCTATATTAGTTTAGTGTCAAGCTTCTACTCACTTTGGAACAAATGTTAAATGAATTTAGCCTGCATCCCCTATGAATGCATAGTTAGTACAGCTTTATGGCTTTCTTTACCATTTTATCTAAAATGGTTTGAGCAGGCTTTCCTTCAGGTCAGACTGTAAAAGCAGGATTTGTAGCTCTCATCTTTCAGTCAAGGGGCATTTGTCAGCTGAATTGTATTTGGATGCTACAGGGTTAGACAAAGGCTCTATTCACTAATGTACTGCATGGCTTTAGCACTTTGAGGAAGAATCTAAAATATTAATCTTTGCCTGAGTTCCAAAAGTCACTATTTATGTTTTATGTTTATTCAGTACCATTTTTAATCCTGCTGCATAATTACTTACCTTACCTAAGCAAAGAAAACCTTTCTTTTCCCCTTTCTCACTTAGCCAGCACTGAAGAAAAAGATGTTGTTTATAAAGAAATTAGAAGTTAGACAACTTAGCAAACAATTTCAGGGACTGTGTAATTCAGTGAGCTTACTTTTCTTACTATCCAGCTGACAAGCAGCTCTTTGATTACTTTAGCATTATGATACAGCTTCAGATACAACAGAACTACATTATTGTCAAACCATATAGAAAATGTTGAGTCAATGAATGCCACCTGTACAGTATTTTCATTACCTGTTTATAAAGCAACTGCTCATTTTCTCTGGCGTAGCAGAATAGAACATCTGTAAGAATTTTCCTCACATTCTCTTGCTGGAAATACTGCATTTCAGGAAAGCTGAAAATTAAGAAATACAGCGAAAATAAGCAATACACAGTGCACAGAATCTCAAGTCACTGGTCTTCTAGAAATCGTTTTAGGTAAGACAATAACTTCCTTGTCTGCTTTCCCACCTCTCTGTGAATTTTGGATCCTGCTAGAGTGAGAACACTTGTAAAGTTTTGTTACATTTTTTTGCAACTAAAATCCCGAACCATGTTCTTTAATATACAACAGTCTGCTACATAGATGTGATGATATCAATGGTTATATTTAAATAAGTTACCCCTTTTAGTATTGTGAAAACTAGAGATCTGCAAGAATGAAATACAATGGCATATTGTTTTAATAGTCAGCTTCTTACAGCCAATCCACTGAAAATAAATAACTTGGAGAATCTAATAAAAATAAAATAATGCACCATACGAGTATGTTCCCATCTAAAGAATCAGGTTCCTTTGTTCCCTCGTATAATGAAAGCAAGTTGAGTTGAAGCAGAATGAAAGGAGACATAACGAGAAGGAATTACTATCTACCCTCTCCATCCTGTACACAGGCTCTTATTGTCAAACCTCGCAGTCCAGAAGACCATCCTGGTCCCAGCAGACAGAGCATCCTAACAGGAACCTAACTCCAAGATTGTGCTCCATGGATTGCCAGTCCTTTGCCAATGAATCTAAAATTTGCTTGGAACACTTAGAAAAGGAGCATGATCACAAAATCCAAGCAGACACTTCTTCCCTTAAAAAAGGAAGCCAGTTAAAACGAAAACTTTTGAATGCAGTTATCTATTGAGTAATTTAATTCAGGAACTGGAAAAATAACCACTGACGATCTAATCTCCACATATTAAAAAACATACTTCCCATGACATGCTCCAATATTTTTAATCTGTGTTAGGTTAGCAACTGTAACTGGATCATCAGCCTGCCCTGAATTTTCATGAATAGGGCTTAGTCCTGCTCTTCATTTTTCTCAAGATAAAAGCTGGGCAAAGGAAGAGTACAAGAGCTACAGTATGTTAAGGAAGTTTGTAAAAATTCCAGTTATAAACTGGAATAAAATGGAAGAATGAAGAGCATGTCAGAAGAAACATATACACAAGGCTTCATTACTTCGTTAACCTTTGAAAATGGTTAGCATATTAAAAACAAGAACAAATGGTTGGACACTGGAACAGGCTGCCCAGGGAGGTGTTGGGAGCCACCATCTCTGCAAGTGCTTAAAAGAAATACAGATATAGTGCTTTGTGACATGATTTAAGCACTGAACAGGTAGATTAAGTTATGGTAGAGTGATTAGGTTATGGTTGGACTTGATGATCTTCAAAGGTCCTTTCCAACCAGGATGATTCTATGAATATTAAAATACCTCATAATTGTAATGAAAACCAGTATCCTAAACTCCAATATAGCTTACTGGCATATTTTCTGATGCAATATAATTAGGCATTTCACTGTCTTTAGTAGCAAATGAACTTCACAATTATGAAATAATTTAATCCTTTAAGTTGACTAGAATGAAGTGGACCTAGTGTGAGAATAATGGAAAAAAGCTTCTGGGAAAATCCGGTTATCTGCATATAATCCAGAAAAATTAAAAAAATTACAATCTGTAACTATTCTGAAGCAACTGTCACCTCTGCATCCTGCTTCTGGATTGCTGGATGTCAGATATAAAGTGATTATGCAGGACGTACTTTATTGAAAAAGTGCACAGATAAAAGGGTTTTCATGCTTACTGAAGAAGGAACTAGACAGCAAAATACATTTCATAAAGCAATCACTCCAAGCCACATGCAGCTATATGGAGCAATAACAAATAAAACATACAAATCTGGAAAATATAATACTAATAAGAAAGGAAAAGGTAAAGTTGGACAACGAAAAATAGAGGAATACTTAAACAATCATAGGCCTCAGGCTAGATTGCTGAAATAAAGGATATAGTATTATCAGTTTTAAAATGAAATCACACAGAATGCAGGTAAGTTTTCTTCAAGTGGAAATTTTGCTTTTCCTGCTTCCCAAGTCTGAGCTACAATGCTATAGCAGGCCAGTTAATACTATTATTGCTGTTATAAAGCCTGTCACAGAGAATTACAGTAAATTACTTCAGATAAAACTATTAGTGTTAATAATTACTGTGGTCATCTCACAGAGGTGATGACAAGTAAGCCAAGAGACATAACTAATTAAAGCTAGAAAGGTGCTTTGAAATCCTTGGATGAAGGACCTGAATCAAGAGCCAAGGCAGAGAAGACACTATAGTTTAAATGCAGTGATGCCAAAGTCCTGAGAAAGGAAGTAGGATGAGGGGTGTAACATTTTCCTGGCACCTGTTGGGAAATGTTAGACCAACATTTGGAAACTTGAATGCTCTTGTACTAATCATATTACTGTAAGGGAAGGACACAGCTGAGACCAAGAGTGCATTTGAGCAGATGGCAATCTATGTAATTCAGGGGCTTGAAGAGATTATTTCTGAAGGACTGTTATTCAGGCCTGCCCTGTGAAGTTTAGGAACACAAGACTAACAAAGAAAACTCAAAAATACACAGAGATAAATGTGAGGATCTAGTAATACCAGAGATTGTGACAGAAAGGATAATAATGAACTCACGAATAAGCTGGCTGAAGTATTAATTATAGTAAATGTAAATACAAGAGATCATGAGGCAACTATCAGATCAGGATGAATTTTTATGTATAATGTAATTTTATGATTAAAGCACTGGTTTAGAAATACAGTATACTCCAATCAGGCAAGGTGAGAATGCTTTTCATCAACAATGGAATATTGCATTTAATTACATTTCTAAGAAAGACTCCATAAGGACATGGGAATTTTCCTAGACTGTTCTACCAAAACAGTAATGGTGCATGCAAGCCTCTGCTTTCTGAAAGTAATGACCAGCACCAGTTAGTCAAATTTTTTTAAAACATTCCTCTAGCCCCTGTAGGGGCAGCAGGGTTCTGGCAGCCAGACTGGACCCAGAAGAAACTTAAGCTGGCAACCAGATAAAAGGATGCACAAATACTTTGTGAAACAAATTTGGTGGTAGACAGAAATGAGGCTCTTAACCACAACCAAGCACTATCTTTTCTTCCATCAATGGATTCCCTCCCCAGCCAGTCCTCAACCCTGTTCCTCAGCTGGAATGGCAGAAAAAATGGAAGACGTTCTTGCAACTGCAAAGGTTTGGCTAGTTGTCGTCATCATCATCATCACCCTCATCTTCATCATCATCATCGCAGCTCCTCATTTATTATTTTTTTTTTAATAAATTGGTGTACAAAGGTGGCTCTCCCTTCCAGCAGTCCCTCCTCTTACAGAGAAACCAGATTTTGTCTCCCGTGTTCATACTCAATGGGTTGCTGTTTCTTCCAGTCCCTTCTACACATATGCTTAGGAAGGATGTAGCTGCCTAATGTCTCCTACATACTATTTTTTTTTTAATGGGTGTGGGTTTTTTTTGTTATTTAGGAGATGGAGAGCTTGAAACTGCAGCACCCACCACAACTCATCTTCACGCAGCTTCCACCATCCTAAACTGAGATTGGTACTCCTGAAGCAGAAACTAGATAGACCAATATGTAAAAATACTACTACAAAAGATAATAAATCCACTTGATTACTCTACTGGGAATGGCCCCTAAGCATTTTGCTTTCTTAAAATACTGGAGAAAGAAAGAGGGTAATAAAACCTAGACATTTACATTCCAAAGCCAAGGAAAGTAGAACTTACTACTTCCTACACTGATGATAGTTTACAAACAGATACATATGTGTACATAAAATGCTCACAACATTTTATGATTAAGCAAACAAAAATTGTATATATAAATGTATGTTCTTAAATCAAATAAATTAATGTTATATAGGTAATTTTTACTCCACTGTTTGACTTTTTTTTATATTGTTGACACATAATGACAATGATATTAGATATTATTTTGTATAAATACATACATGAAATTTCTTTAGTTTCTACTACTGATACTAGTGAGTATTACTGACTCTGCCATTTGCCAGAGTGACAGCCTGGGCTTTGTATGCATGTGTATATTTTTAAACAGCAGTCTTACATCCAACATAACCTCCATGCAACTTTTAATTCCCCAATTATAGTTTAGATACGTATATATTTTAATCTTAGAACATCCTGAACTGCTTTCCTTTAACAAACAAAAAAATACCATCTGTGAGAATGCACATGAAAGCATACTCAGATTTTAATTATACGTCTCATGGCAAAATGCATTCAAGATTGGGTCTAGGGACGGACATATGAAGTATTCCAAAACCAGAGAGCAATGACTTCTTCTGCCTGGCTTTATTTTTGTAAATAAAAATGTGTGAACTTGGGATTTGTAAAATCTATGACTATCTCCACTTTTTTCAAGTTCTAAGGAAAAATATTTGCAATACAGCAAAATTTCATGTGGTAGCAAACCAGTAATGGAACTTAATTAGATTTACATATCAGTCAATGCTTACACTCTAAAAAGAAATGTTTAAAGGAAATGAGTGTTCTAACTCAAACAAGTTCCTAAGCAGGAATCACCTAAGGGCCAAGAGGATGAAAACACAGTCACAGTAATATTAGGGCAACTTTCAAAAGGTAAATGTGACAAATAATACTAGAAAAGTGATAAATAAAGATAGATCTCTGGATGAGTGACATTTCCCTTACTAATGAAAATATAAGTATAGTAATATATATACATTATGTATGTTTTTTATTGATTAAGTGTTAGAATTATTAGAAAATAATCTGTCCAATATTTATTATGATCACAATTTAGTTACAAGACCTTTCTTTCAGTTTCTCTTACCCTCTCCTTGCTTCATCTGGAAAACTACTTTATATTTCACATAGTAATAAGTTCTCTAATATCTTAATTTAGAAGAGCTTTTCCACAATGATACCAATAAATCTCCAGGGTTTAATGTTTAACTGAATTTTCTTGTTTTTCAATCTAAGCAAGCTCTATTTTTATACATTTAATGTATGTTTCCACACATTCATGTTCAAGAATTTACACTAACCAAAGGCAAAAACCAACAATATAATGTGTACTACATAAAACCAAAGAATCTAAAGTTATATATAGAAATTTCTTTAAAGATCTACATACGTTCTTGTCACATCTTGTTCAATCATTGCTCGAAGCTCTTTATCCTGGAAAAATTTATTCCAAAGACTCTGAAACATGGAAAAATGGTATGAGACAGAGACTTCTACTAATACTTACGATTTATATACTGCAGCAGCAAAGTTCTGTAAATATATTTAACTAATTCATTCTCAACATTCCTGGTAGATAGGTATATCAATATTTTATGGGTGAAAAAGAATGTTGGTGATCAGCCTAACGCATCTGAGGAAGTCAGTTTAGATCAGAGATTAAAAGACTCCGCCTCCTTGATCCTTGTTTTAGGCTCACTCCATTGTCTCACTGGATGACTACAGGTCTGTGAGCTACTTGTAAGGGGTTAATGAAGATTATTTAGGAAGGCAGAGTAAATTCAAGCTTACCAAGACCAGCCGCTCAATTCAGTAGTTCACTCATGGGAAAAGGTCTCTGTCATTGTACTGTTTTACCCCTCTCCCACAAGTGTATGGACACTAACTAGAAGCTGCTGTAATTTCCATCCTAATAAATTGTTTGGAAGTAAGCTATTTTGTCATAGTGGAGGCAAACTTAAATAAGAATCAAATACCTATTATAAAAATGACATCCATTATAATGGTGCATATACACAGTGCAGATAAAAAAAAAGTTCTGACAGCAAAAAACCAGGGTATTTTAGGCTCACTCTCGACATACAAAAAATGTTAAATAAAAGAGTTGGAAGTAGGTTTAGCTTCTGTATCTGTGCTTATGACTGGTTCATTCTTTTTCTTCGGTTTCCCCGCCTTGTTTACCAATATTTTGCAAAAGCTAACCTGAAAAAAGTCAGCAAATGTTGTCTGTATGGTCCAGAGAAAGTATTGAAAACTCTGTTCTCTGTAAAGAGATAGTAGTTTGTTGATCAAAATACAAAAGGAACAAAATCGATAGCAGCCTTTTCATGCAGGTTCATTTTCAGATAGCAGCAGCACCAGTGAATGAAATACCATACAAAGACAGTGGCTACAATACTTCCAGGATTCCTTGCTCCCTTGTAAACAATTCATTGCCATGGTGGCTTATGGTCCACAGAAATAAAAGAGAAAGTAAATTAAGTGGAAGGGAGGTAAAATAACAACAACACAAAAGGTAATTAGTATCTATACTTGTTTTACAAACTATGAAAAATACCCCAAACTTAAAAAATTTATATGCTTGACAATGTCTTACATAAATCTAGCATCTTTTTAACACACAGCTCTTTCCATGCCCCTAGATCACATTTTGAAACTCCCCTGCCTCTGCTCCCATCCCAGTCCCAAAGAACAAAGGATGAAGGAAACAGACTCTGTGCTGCAAAAAGGAACGCCAGGACACTGAAAGGGTCAAACATTAAGTCACTGCAGAGTCTTGCAGGATCTTTGCTGTTCATTTCTATGCCTGATTTGGTCTGTGTCTTTTTACAGAGTAATCCCCTGCCACATACTCTAACATGTTAACCTTCATCTTCTATCTCCTAAAGACCTCATAGGCAGAAAGAAGGTTGTGCCACTGTGTAGAATTACAGACTACAGCAGAAATACTTTAAATCTGTTACATTTGCCACAGCTTTCTATCCAGCTGGATTCATGAACAATTTGATGGTATGCACAGTCATACGGGCTGGAGAGCCACCAAGGTGCCTATGATCAATACTTCCATGTTTCAACAAGCAAATTTCTCCTTCCCCATGAAATATGAAGCAGAGTACCATATTAAATACAAACAAAATATGGCCTTCTGTTTGTAAACAAAATGAAAGTACAATACCACCAAAGATACCTATGTCAGGTGTAAATTTCTTAAATGAAGCCAAACAAATTATTTTCATGGTATTAAGTTACTTTGAAAGTTTGATTAGAAAATTTTCAAAAATGGTAACATAATTAACAGAAAAGTTTAATGATGTGCTACAATATACTTAAGAGCTTTTCAGGTATAACAAAATGCAGTAGAAAAACACTATTAAAAAAACAACAACAACACTAAAATTAAGCTCACAAATCTACATGTAAGCCCTCCTCAAAGTGTCATGACTTTTTAAAATAGCAAGCTACTAGGAGGTCCTATTAATTTCAATGAGAGCTGGATGCTCTGCACTTAATGACAGTGGGGTGAATGTTTTACCACATTTTCAGTATTTCTTTAAAATCTGGATCTTTCATTTTGCAGCTGGCTGCTTTCTGATTAGAAAAGAAACTTTTGTTTCTTCTAACTATAGAGAAAAGAATTAAAACCTTGGAAGAAATACCTATCTTGCAGCCTGGTACTTTGCACATTAACTCAGCATGATTACAACTCAGCCATACAACTCTAAAAACTTCCAAGGATGAACAAACTTCCAGAAGAAGGTTCTTCAGTATTAACTGTTAACAGCAATGCCTCCTTATTGATTGTATAAACCCTCCTCCTAATAGAACCATGTCATGTATAATATGGAAACACACAGTGTATCAATTAAAGAAAGAGTATGCTGTGAAACTGGACTTACAGTCCAGTTCATGAGAGCCTTCCCTGCAATAAACCCTGAAAATCAGGATATTAATCTGTAAACGAGCATTTCAGGTTGTTCAGCAGAGTCTGTGAACCAATTGTTAAGACAAGTCAATTTGGAAATTCAGGAGGAGATTTTAGCACCTTCCATTTTGCCTTCTTCAGCAAGAACTCACTTGTGTCAGTGTGATGATGATAGGAATTCTAGTAGCACACATGTTGATAGAACTAAGGGTCAACTTACCCCCTCGTCCTGAGAGAGTGGGTTGTTGATTATCAGATCTTGTTGTCCTGCTTTCCGAGGGTTTGTAATGTGCTGGGTATAAACAGAAAAAATAAAATCCTCTTCTGTTACAATGTAAGCATTAATACCTACATCAAAGCATGAGAGAACATATTTTGTACCAACTTACAATTTCTTTGATCTTATTGTAAGAAGTTCTTAAGTCTGAAGTGGTTTTAATCCATTGACTTCTGTCTTGGGGTAAAACCTCCAGAAATAACTATCAACAAAACAAAAAAGAAATTATGTTTCATTAATTGCTTTTCAACTAAATCCTATCAGGCAACATAAACTGTCTCAGAAGGGAGGTGCGAGTACTCTACACATAAAAATAAAGCAATAATCTATAATATACTCCTGGTTTTAGTCCTTCCTAGTCAATACAGAAAGATCTAGAAACAACAGCACTTCTATGGTACAAAACAAAGCATGGAAAAGAACTGAAGCCTCAAACTCAAGCTTTTTAAACTGTCAAAACTTCAGTAAAGTTGACTGAAACTTCCAAGGCCGAAACAAAATGCAAAGGGATGAAAATAAATATACAAATAAGCTATTTAGGCTAACACTGATGAGCTAATGCAACATGCTTAAAACCAAACAAAAATGCAGAGTGGAAACTAAGCAATGACAGATGTACTCTACCTAAGAAATGTGTAAAGGGAAAATCTTAATCTATAGAAATGTGTTCTAGAATGCCGCAAAACAGGTAAAAGAGTTGATTGTGCAAAAAGCCCTTGAGAATGCCTACATCTCAGTTATTTCTTATTTTTGCTTAACAAGGGTTAGGAGGACATATCTTTTGGAAAATACTCCTTAATTGTCTATAAAATGTGGAAAAAGTGAAATATTTTCTTGCTTTTTAAATGTTTTTACTTAAACACTATAAAGCATTAAAAAACAGCAAATACTGACCAAAAAAACCCACTTCCAAATTACTAAAGAGACTTAAATATTTAAGAACTTAGCAAAAATGGTAAAAACCAAGCAATTTAAAACAGAGCCCTAACCCATATTGAGACATGCAAATAAAAGCAGATTTATTTCTAAAATAAAACCTATCCTTGATTTAACTAGTTGATAGTGAGGGGCTTGATGCCTTTGCTAGTTCAGTGTTTTGAATTATGGCCTTGTAAGTTAGAGGCTCATTAAGAAGGAGACACCTAAAACAATGCTTGTAGCATATATTCATCTGTCCGCCTTAAGAAAGTATTTTCATTAACTTTAAATTTGTTCAATTACACATACATTTAAAATTTCAATTTTCAGATTTCTTTCATTCATATATAAAGTTTTTTCTTTTTTTTTTTAATAGAAAAAAAGTGAAGCTTGAGAAATTCCAAGTGAGGTAATTTAAATTATCCATGCTGATGTACCACAGCTCTACTAGGGAAAGTGCTCCCTATTATTATAAATAGTGCAGAACAGAAGACCTGATGCCAGTGCAAAAAAAAGTATCTTTCCGACTTTATATAGTATTTCAGTATTACTTTGCTTTCTTTCTTCCTTCCCCTGCAACTTCAAAAAATCACAAAGAGACCTATGAGGATCTGTTGTGTTTTAAGATTGGAAGATCATGGCTTCCCTCTATCCAGTCACTACAAAAGGGATTGATCTTTATTTTCTCATTTCACTAGTAAAAGCTGCTATCAGAAGCATGAGACTGATTTTAAAGGAGTCCCAAGTTCCACAAAACATAAATTGTGAGACAAACTCCCTGTTTACATCCAGTACATGACTCCACTGCACAGAGACTGAGAGAAGAGATACCTGTGTGCCACTCAATTCTAACCACATTACCCAGCACAAAGAGATTCCTTCCTAGAAATCTTTTGCTATCACCCACAATTTAGCTTTAAGGCAACTCAATATGATTAGCAAATGTCCTATGAATTATAAAAATCAGTAGGAAAACATTGCGATGAAGTCTCTTGGAAAATTCATGATTCTTTGCATCAATAATCTTCCAATGCATCAGGTAATGTGTTGATATATTGCAACCACAAACTGTAAATAAATATTTTCTCTTCTTACCTTCCAGCAAACACTACGGAACCTGCTGCTTCTCAGCTGCCCATTAATCCCCTTCAGCCGTATAGTTGCCAAGTAATTGTTGTTTACAAATAGTTCTTCCCATTCTTTACTGTGTGCAGAAGCAAAAGGAAAGAACATGTAAAAAAAACAAAAAAGCCTTAGCTGATTTAAGGACTATATGACACCACATAATTTTGGATGAATAGAGGAAAGGAACTTTTTTTAATGTATATATTTATTTGTGTACCGTTTCTAAACGCATGGCTGTCTTTTTGGACATGTTTCTTCATTGGATTTAATGAATATGTAGATCGCTATAATTATGCCAGCTACTGAAATTCATAATGTCTATGGAGGCTATTCCATTTCCTCTAAAATGTTGGTACTGCAGTTCAGTGAATAAACAAGAAAAATGAATATTAATATAAGCACATTCATGTTTCAGCTGTAGACAAAGAAATACCTATTCCAAAAATACACAACAGAAAAGTATACTGTTGGCTGTATTAGCACCTCACATGACATATTTGCTTAAATGAACCTTCTTTTCTTCTTAATGTCAAGCTGGGCAGTTAGGCATAATAGAAGATGACTTTCTTTAACATTTAGTGCTATTTACTATTGAAATCCCTCCTATATCTTTCTACATGATCAGTTTTAAAATTTTAACAGGTGCTAGCAAATTTAAAAAAACATCAAAAAATTAAAAACCCTCACTGTATAAACGGTTAAAGGCAAGCTTGAGTACCTTGCAGTACCTATGGCTGACTAGATAAACAACCTAAATATGCCTCCCAGGCATGCAGGCACCAGGGGCCTAACACCTGTGCCTCATTAATATACAAGTAAATCTGCTCTACTGGGAAACAATTGGAAATTAATTGTCCCAAACCATCTACTGAGTTTGAATAAAAGAATTTAATATATATTTCCTGCACCTTCTACTGAAATGAATCTCAAGAAAGTATAAGCCATTTAATGGCCTCAGTAGCCCAGGATATTCTCATAGACTTTCTGCAAACACTCTAAAATCCAAAGGATAATTTCAATGTAAAGAGCTGGGTTATGTGCAAT